TAACACTATAACTAGAGGTAGAAGCTGGAGAAAACGGAGGTTCTGTACAGTATGTGTGGAGCTGCTGGGACTGTAACGAGCCAGTGAGCGGCAGATGTAGACATGCACCTTAACTCAAAAGACAAGACATCTACAGCTCAGCATGCTGTAAGAGCTGCATTCAGCTAATAAAATAAACAAAAAACAGTGATATTTATTGCACAGACAGAATACAGTACTTGCGTTTGTTTCTCTTAAATTGCATTTATTTTTCACCACTCACTATCTTGCTTTTTTACTTGCAATACTATTTTATGTGACTAAAAAACATTACGGTATATTCCTAAGGAGAAAAAAGACATGGATTTTATTGCACTCCTTAAGTCATCAAAATAAAAAGAAAGTTATTGTTAAAATGGATCTTGTCATAGTCTGATATGAAACTGGAATCTGCTTGTGTTCCTTAATAAGAAAACAAGTGGGAAGTAAAGGTCTTATTTCCAGTCCTCCAAAGAAATCATTACGTGTCCCTTACTTGATTACATTTTGCTGTGTGCTTTCCGCATTCTGAAGTGAAATGATTTTCTAATATAAAAATAGTTTTCTCCTCCAAATGTTCCTTGAAATACAGATTCTTAACCTCCTGTGGATAGAGTAATCTCCTTTCAGGAACTCTCTTTAACACAACATCAATCTGAAAATATCTAGTTATTAAATAATACAATAATCAATGCCAATATATTAAAAGCAGAAAGTCTTACCAACCGATTCAGTTTAAATGACTTTCAGAGTAAATGATCTGAGAAACTGTGGCTTTTTCTCATGGCTTGGGTGAGCAAATGCTTGCAAACTGAAGTGCTGGGGAAGGGTTCTGAACTTGTACTGTAGCTGGAAAGCTGTCAGTTCAGGTCTCATTGAAATGCTGCTGTTATGCTGTTACTCACTTGAGTGAGGAACCTCACTCATTGCATCATTGATGTTATCAATGATATTGATATGATCATTGCATATACATTGGAATTTACACATAACTAAAACACGCAGCTTTATACTGTAAATAACATATAACTGTAACTTTAAGTTTTGTGGACAAACGCCACAGTGCAGTTCAGGAGAAGAGTTTTAATTTGTTATGAAAAAGGCAATTTTCTAGGACACACCCAAAATGATGCACACAAAGTGTATTGTTATAAGTTTTATTTTCTGGGCAAGAAAAACCACATTTAGAAACTCCTCATGCTGTGTTGAAAAGAGAGCACGGGCTAATTCACTTACAGTACATTTTAAATATGATATGGCAAATCCTTCCATCAGTTCGGATGCAGAGTGAAGGTGGAAGTCATTTCCCATAACATGAGGCTCATATATAAAAAGATATTGGGTGTCTTTTTGAAAATATATACTCTTTCCTTTCTACAACTGGATACCTGTTTTGTTTTGAAAGTTCCATGGTTTTCATAGTTGAATATTTGCTTGAAAGTCATTTTCAGACTGAAGTACATTACAGATACAGGTGTATTTCACACATAAAAATATACTGTATAATACCTTTTGATTAAGAATCCTAGTCCTGAAGACTGAAAACAATGACTTACTGTAAACATTACGGACTGTTTCTATACATAGCACTTTTTGTCTCACTAGCATCAGCTTCCCAGTTGCCTCAAAGACGGTATTTTATTTGCCATTAAAGACAGTCTCGCATGTGTGGAAAGGGAATATTTAAGCAACTAATAATTACTCTAGTTTATTAGTTTTGAATTCGCTTGCCAATTATATGATACAGCACTTGGACCTCATATCCAGTTATGTGGTCCTGACTTTCAAAGCATGGTGAATGCACACTTCTGTGTACAATGCAAAACAATTAGTTAAAGCAAATCCCTACGTGAAGTCAATAACCCATTTGAATCAATTTAACTTGCTTTTAACCTAATTTTATGGAAAACAAATAATCCATTATTATTGCTTATAGGCCAAGATCCATACTGAAAACCTGTATGCTTATTTTGCAAATCGTTTCTACTAATTTCACCATTGTGCCATAAATGATATGATCCTGGAACAAACTCGTGTTTTTCATTTTTTTAATGTAATGTAATACAGTGTGATTTCAGCATACGTTGAGATCTTGAATGTAATTTTGAGAGTTGAGTGCTGATGCTATTGGAAACTGGTGCAGCCTTAGTGTAGCCTATTGATGGAAAACAGGATCTCTGTGGAAAAGGAGTCTGCCTGCAAAAGTGATTCCTCTGAATAATGAGTCATTTTCATTTGTGGTTTTTACAAGGATCACAGTTTCTACAAGGATCACAGAACAGCTTGTGAAGTAGAGAGAACCTGAGAGTTATATAATATGACTTTTTCTCAGATCTGAAAATGTCTGTTTAATTCTGTGTTTCTTAAATGTAGAGTAAAATAGCAGTGGGTAATATAGAAAAAAAGTCGCACAAAACAGATTATGTGCATGCTTATGGTGATCAATTTGAGTTTGTGTAGGACAAAGCTTTTAGGTTTATTAATAAAAACCAGCTTGCACTAGGGTTTTAATCTTTTCAACCTATAAATTCCAGGCCTTTTTAAAAACAGTAATCCAGCAATCATCTGGTTCCATCCAAAATTAATATCCTTTAAATGGGTCAGATTTTTTCGGCAGATGTTAGATGTCAAAGAAAATGCTGATTGGCTCAGCAGAGTATTCTCTACATGAAAAATTGCAACTTTGCAATAAACAATGACAGAAATGACAAATGACAGACATTGCAATAAACAGTGACAGAAATGACAAACATTGCACATTGTGCTGTTCACAATGGCTCTTTTATAACCATCAGGTCATATATCATTTGTCAGTCTCTTAGATCTCTGAGCCAGTTTCTGATCATCTACCAGTGGCTTTGTGTTCATCTTTGAAACCCCTTTGAGATCCAGAGTAAAGTCAATAATGCCAGCAGACTTGCGAGTGTGGTTGTGTTCACCACTTAGGTAAAAACAAATGAATAAAACAATTCAATTAAGTAACTGGGACTTTGGATGGAAAGGGAATTTGGTCACCCTGCAGCCCTAAGGACTGGAGTTGCCTTCTATCCTTTCTTCGGATCAATTTCATTAATATAAAAATTTCATTACAGCAAATTGTAAAGTATGGCCTTGTAAAACATTTAGGGCTTTTTGAAGAGCCCCATCAATCTTAGCCTGGATAAGAGCTTCAGACTTAATACTGTAGTACAAAGCAAACAGCAAGCTTAAACTAACATTTTAAAGTCCAAAGTGTATTTAAAAATACCACTGTTTATTGGATCTATTATCTGGTTTTACAGGAATAAATCCCTTTAATGTGTATTTTATTGTTCAATAAATGAGCAAATATGTATTCAGGTTTTTTTTTGCAAAACTTAATATGGAACAACTGTTTAAGACGGTACAGTATCTACATCTCCCAATTTATTAAAATTAAATTTGAAATACCATAAACCTTACAATTGAGCACTTCCAAATGTAAACAAAACACATAGTTGAATACAAGAGCTGTTGGCCTCATTACAATAATGCACTTCAGTGAGGTATACAGGATTTATAAATAACAAATAACAGGTGCTTACTTTTACCAACAATGGGTGTTTTGATTCATAATGGATTAATTGTTGTAATTAGTGTGAAACTATTAATCCCACAGAGATGATTGCAGTCTGCTAAAAATTGCATTAGAGTAACAATATGCTTTCCAGAAAACAATTTTAAACAATCTAAATTGCAGTTTAGCATTTCTCAGTTTTTTGCCACAATTCCTTTTAATCTGCTCTCAATAGAATGTTAATGGTCACAACAAACCACTCACTGATGCTCCTGTTTAACACAAGGACCAGAAGGTAAAGGTTCAACTGTATTACACCACAAAGGCACGAAAGGGAGAAATGTCCTTGACAGTTTGAACTAACACATGTCATTATTTAAGGATACACCTGTATTGTTGACAGGTACTATAGAGGAGATCTATTAAACTTCACCATTGCCCAAATATTCTACTTTAAAAATACAGCTTCTAATCTCTACATCTTTGTGATGCTGAATAATGAGTGACTCACAGCTTGGATGTACTGTAATCATTTTCTACCTCCTTTCTAAAACGCCATCAGTTTTGCAGTCTATGGAAAATTATATCAGCAAAACATGCTTAGAAAGCAATTCATCTTAAAAACAATAACTGACAGCGACAGAAAAATGATTTTTTTTTAAGTGGTGGCTGAATGTGCCTCTCTTTTACATGAATTTCTCCTAGATGTGCAGTATTATGCCATGTTAAGGAGAGCTAATGATATCTCAGCAGGACCAGCATGCATTTTCCATGTCAATGACTGACGTGCCTGAGAATTTCTTAAAAAGGAAATTTGAGCTCTTCATGATATTTCTGGTGCGATGCTCCGTTCAGCTAAATTTAATTTTCAGGTCATTCCTACTGGAAGAGGGGAAATCATTTCCTTACCTTTTTTTTAAACGTTGACACGTACTGTATCATAGTTACATGACCAGTGAGTACGTTACCTTTCAGTCCACTAATGCACTGCTGTATAAATAAGTGCTAACCAAATATATTTATTTCACAATGCAACATGAAGTACACTTCCTTTTTATCATTTAAACTACTTGTTTTCTAAAGTTTTTTTTTCTCAAGCAAGTGCCTTCAGCAATATTCATTTAAGGCAGTGGCAAACGTCAGAGCTCACCTCGGCACTGTCCCACAGGGCTAATTTAAAGAGTTTTTGGAAGCCTGCCTGGAATTCACAAGTAAGCTCAATTGATACAAGGTATAATTGGACAGGGCTGCATTATAAAACAGTATCCAGGCATCTATGAAAATCAATAGCCCTAACTCCTCTTTATTTAGACGTCTACAGCAGAATGTACTTTAAATAAAGGCTTGTCTGGCTTGGTTTCCAGCACACTTTCCTAATCTATTTAAGTCTGGAGTTTCAGGAGCCACATCAGTTTTTCAAGCTGGAGATGCACTATTAATTGCTTACCTGACTCACAGGCAAATGTCTTTGACGTCTCGTCATAGAAGATAATTGTCACCGCATGTTTCTTTGTCTCTCGGGGCAGCCTGGTTATGTTCTTGATGTTATGCAGCTCAGTTATCTAGAAATTGAAGGTAAAAATATTGCTGTTACCACACTGAATTACTGTAATAAAAGCAAAATAAAGGCTCTGGATAATGAATGCCATGTTTATTGCAAAGCTCACTGTTCTAATGTATTAAAAACAAACTGCTACATTTTTTTTAAAGACTTAGCTATTAGAGTCTGACTTAGCCGGCCTTTTAATGTATTGCTTTTTCCTACAGCATACTGTACTGTATGTAAATACAGGAGAAGTGTTTAGTTCTCTTGCATAGCAAAGAGTACAGCACTGAAAGAAATAGGAAAGAAGGTTTTGGCAACATACTTTATCATACCTGTATATGCTCAATAGATTTTAAGAGAGTACAGTATATTCCACTTATTTACTGTACATAGAAATAACTTAAAGTCTCAGTAGGAATTAGTAGGTGCATAACATGCTATGCAGTATTATCTTGTATTGTACGGTATTGTATACCTGTTAATTAGATCTTATCGTACAATAATATTCTGTATTACTGCTTTGGAGTAGCTTAACACTGGATTGGCTTATTATTGCATTTATCTAACATGCTTTGAGCCTGACAATTCAGTCTTCACCAACCGTTTGACTCCAAGTATAGTGTAGTGATGGACTATGCCAGCCTTTCATTAAAACTGCGTATTCCTTTTAATTTCTGTTTATTTTTTTTTCTTCAGTTACCTTTTACCTCAGCTGCATTAATCATGAAAATGCTAACCATCACAATCCCTGAACTGTGTTTTCAGAAGTCCTTGTGGGAATGCAGAGTGATTTCATTTGAAGTCATTGTTTTGACATTTCTGTATGTTTTGGGTCAGGGTAGTGAGCTCCATGATGTTAAACTCCTTCATATGGAAACCGCATTTGCTTATTTGATTCCCCCTTGACAAGTTTTGCTCTAGTTCTTTGTAAAACGTTTTCATTTCATCTTTAGGCTCCGTAGTGTTGCTGTGAGCTGGCATTTGCCATCTACAGTATATGCACATAATTGAACTCCAGTATAATTTTAATTTGTCACTCTTACATTTGACAAATTGTTAGTTTAATCATCCTTTATGTATGGCCCCTCATGGCACTGTTCCTCTCAGCAAGTCTCAGTACTTTTCAGCAGATTCCCAGTGTTCAACTGAGCTTATCAGAAGACTAGCTGCAATCTGAACTTGTCCCGATTCTGTTATTGTGTACTACAGTATACTGTAGGTGACATGGGCTTTCACTAATATGTGCTCTTCAAATAAACCAAAAGTCCTAAAATGAAAAGTAGAGATTGCTGCTGTTTATTGCCTTTGCTATCATCAAGTACCCTTTTACTATGTGAAAATGTAAATATGGCCCCAACTTCTATTATCGGTTTTTGATGCTGGTCTTATTTGTAATTTCAATTGACAGCTTTCAGGAGTATAGACAGAATAATGAGTAAACGATAGCCACACACACATAGTGTATTTTAATGTAAACGTACTTTTAATTTATCATATTAATTTAACTGTATCTATTAGCAAATTAAGCACATGGGGTGCAACTCTATTAAAATAACTCATAATCTTTTACCTTTAAGTACAACACTTTGAAACTGTTCAAGGGGGAAGTTCAATTGCAAAACCTTTTATTCTCTGAGCTTGATGTGGGAGAATAGATGAAGCAACACAAGTCTTTCTGGAGGGCTGCCATCTGTACCATCTTGTAAATGCTTCTGTCTGGAGTGCTGAATGATTCTTATAGCCTGTGGCTTTCTGGTTCAAATCCAGGCTGTGCCACTATTTGACTACAGCTGGCAGATTTAGCAGGGTGCCCAGCTGGACAAGCACTGTTGCAAAGGGGTAGCTCATGGATGCTCATCGTCCTTTGTACAAGAACGATGATGCTGGTTCCTCACCAGGAAGTATTTAGTCTGGTATGCAAGTCACACCAAGGCCTTGCTATCTGGATCCAGAATTCCATAAGGAAATAAAATAGATAATATACCAATATATCATCTTCCTCACTCAGTGTGGGAGGCTGCACCACCAGTTAGGGCGGAAAATTAGGTGGCTGCTCCAAACTACTAGTTATAAAAGACATCTGTCTGAAAAAGGTGAGCAAAAGACTTAGCCAGTTTTCCTGCTTCTTATACACTTATTTTTCATTTAATAAATCATGTAACCTCAGCTGCTTTTTTGCCCAAGAACCGATGGTAAGAGAACACTCTGCAGAGTCTAAAAAGCAAGTGAATAAAAAGAATAGTTTAAGATCTAATGAATGACTTTAGTGGTGAAGAACTCTCAGATCCTTAAATACAGTAGATTCTGACTTTAGAAACTTTACATATTTCATGTAAAGGTCACAGTTATATTAGTCTCTAAACATTAATTTTGATTTAGGAAATATTTAGAAAATATATTTCAGAATAGTGCAGAATCCACAGTCGTACTATAGTATTAATGCTCAGGAGTCCTGGCTGTATCTTTTTATTTAATTCAACCAGATTCTTGAGATTGTTTTTGCTTCAGTTAAATTAGCAGCAGCTGAATATGTTAAAAATAAGTCCTAATTAGAATATTTTTATACTGTAGCACAGGGTATCTAGACAACATTTCAAAAGTGGGTTTAACTTAATAGAAATGTGAAATGTCCCATTAGCACTGAAAAGCTTTACATACCTTCTTGTGTCATACTGTATCTCCTGTGCAGGTTAGGGTAAAATACATACAATCCAAGAGTGAAAAAAAAGGAAAACAGGGACAATTTTTCTCTTTTTTTTCTCTAACAGATGCTACAGTACCTACAGTAGCTGTAAGCTAACTCCTGTAAGCAAACTCCTTGAGAGGGTCACCAGCTCTAAGGAATGACCTTAAGAATGAATACCATGTACCATGTAATACCACGCTGCAATTCTTCATAACTGAAATTACGTTGTACTGAGTAGAAACACGTAAATTACAGAATATGGTAACTTTTCCATTTGTAGAATCTCCAGAAATGAGCTCATTTATTGAGAGTCAACATTCTGAGAGATTATTGAATGTGAAAGCAAGACAGATAACTGCTGTGTGTGGTTAACATTTCTGTTTGTAAACATTAAGAAGATTGTTGTACTGTATATATACTGTATGGTGTAAAACTGTACATGAATAAGGTTAAACTCTAGGATGTACTGTACAGTAAACAGAGGGGGTAAGTAATTGAATTGTCTAACTTGAAACTTCTAAAATCACAGTTCCAGTATCTGCTTTGACTGAAAAGATTGTTTACCAGTGTGTACGAAATGGTACTGTAGATACAACATTTGTATTACTTCTTTTTCAATGCTCCTATTGAAATGTCTGCTTACTACATTTTTCCCATGAATTCAGAAAACAATTTACTTAGCTGCTATGCCTGCGTCTAGGGATCCCTGGGATAGAGAGCTTATTTCCCACCTGCCTTATAAAATATTACAGACAAACAATTAATCTAACATAGATTCTTTTATTTCTGTATTTATGTTACACTACTCTTACAAATCATTTTCCAGAATGCTTTTTTGGCTTTGTGGTCTATACCTTGATGAGAACAGTCTCATTGGAACATGCAGTACCTGGAATAATGTGACGTACTGTATGCTACTTTAAACCTAGATTATCTAATGATTTACTACATAATTAATTCATAGCATCTATGTAACTCCATATACAAGATTCTGGAATTTCTTAAATTGTACATAGTACACACATTTTGGAAGAAAATATGATCCTCTTTATCTGAGATACTGCAAAGAGATATCCCCTGTTCACCACTGTTTCTTTTACTGAACAATGATTCATCTTTTAAACTGTCCATTTTGCAGAAAAGAATATAGTTGGAAAGTACTATAGCACAAGAAAAAATGATAGCACAGCAGTGGCTGACCTCTGATGCTCTACCATGGCATCAGAGGACTTTGATGTTTTTAGACATTTTATTTTTGGAACTTTCTACAGCCCGTATCCATGGTGCTAAGATGCAGATAATTAGATCATTTTTTTAGCTCCTCTTTAGGAGAAGGTTGCCTTTGTAGGTGGGGGGGTGTACTGTAGGAGAGCTTGATTTGTTTACTGGTTTTTCATTGTTTATAAAAGAAGTAATACAAACATTTTCAAAAAGAAAACAACGTGCTAAATGAAGATCTATGCTGAGGCTCAGGAGGGAGGACAACAACCAAGTCACCTTCTCTGCCGCTGTTATAAATCATAATCAGAAGTCTTTTCCCAAAAACTATTTATACCGTAAGTAAACCCCTCTTTTTCCATTACCCCTCCATCCATCGCCCACCCCATCTCCATGTATCTTGGTCACCCCTCACTCCAAAGCTGTCCCAGCTTTCTCCCTGTGGCCAGGGGGCTGGACCTCAGACAAGTGGGTGAATCCAAATCTCACCAGACCTAAGCTCTCAAAAAGCCATTCTAAGCACGTTGAATTATTGTGTATGATTGTTCCCTGTGAATTAAAAAAAGTTGGTGGCAAAATGGGCCAGAGCAGACATGGCTTCTTCAACACCCAATTTCTGATGACAGGTAATAGTAAACTAACTCTCATGATTATTATTTTAATGAGTTAGCACTTCGTGTAAAGTGCACTCCAATGCACTTCTTGCAATGACAGACATATAAGGCAGTTTTTCCCCCAAACCAGGACCAAGGATCAGATGCATTGTGGCTGTTTTTTTTCAAACCACATGGAGTAAGGAAAACAGTTCATTTGTTTTATCTGGCACTGAATTTTCAAAGGTACATAAAGCGAGCAAGTGTAAGACCTAGATTTTTACCTCACTGTTCTATGAGACTTCTGTGAGCAATTTTTTTTATATATACTGTACAATATATACACATCCATGAACTATCATTAAAAAAAATACTATACAACCACTATGATTACATGAACAGAAAGAAAACTGTCTTGGATCAATACATGTTGATCTTGAGGTTTTGTAAGAAGAGACTTTAAATCACACCAGTGGATACATCCATAATATTTACTTCTGTATATAAGACAGAATACCA